GCAGTGGCATGATTGATCTTGGCTGACTGCAACCTCTGCTGCCCAGGTTCAAGCGATTTTCCTGCCTCAGCCTCCTGAGTAGCTGGGATTACAAGCACCTGCCACCATGGCTGGCTAATTTTTTGGTAGTTTCTAGTAGAGACGGGGTTTCACCGTATTGGCCAGGCTGGTCTCAAACTACTGACCTCATGATCTGCCCACCTTGGCCTCCCAAAGTGCTTGGATTACAGGCATGAACCACTGTGCCTGGCCAAAAGTTGATTTCTTATCAGTCCCTAAGTATACTTCCCTAGAGAAAGCTTGTCAAGTCTGTAGGCCGCATGTGGCCCAACACAAATTTGTAAACTCCCTTAAAACATTATGAGGTTTTCTTGCAATTTTTTTGTTTTGAGCTCATCAGCTAACATTAGTGTTAGTGTATTTTATGTGTGTCCCAGGACAGTTCTTGTTCCATTGTGGCCCCGGGAAGCCAAAAGATTGAATACCTCTGCCCTAGAGCTTCCATTGCTGTTGGACATATGCTTTCCTTTATCCCTATCTCTGTAGTTCTTAGCCATTTTTATTCCACGGATTCAAAGAACCTCTGGTCGTGGCAATGCATACTTGAGTATTTGGGGATTAGTATTTGTAGTTCAGTTCAGTAACTGCTGTGCTAATGTAGAATATGTGGGATTAGTGGAGAGAGCTATGAATCTAGAGCTAAGGATCAGATATTTTTTTTCTCATTCAAATAAGGGATCCATGTTGATTGAGTTACATATATAAGGCTGTGTAGTTACCTGTGCATGAATAAAGTACTTTCAATGAGGCTATCACAATGATGTCATCAGCTGTCTAAGTCAATATTTATCAATAATACCACAAGCCACTTTCAGGGATTTTAAAGTTTAATAAATAAGCCGGGCACAGTGACTCACACCTGTAATCTCAGCTCTTTGGGAGGCTGAGATAGGAAGATCACTTGAGCCTAGGTGATCAACACCAGCCTGGGCAACATAGTGAGACACCGTCTCCTCAAAAAAAAAAAAAGTTAGCCAGGTATGGTGGCACACATCTGTAGTCCCAGCTACTCGCGAGGCTGCAGTGGGAGGGTTGCTTCAGCCCAGGAGGTTGAGACTGCAGTGAGCTGTGATTGTGCCACTGCACGTCAGCCTGGGCAACAAAGCAAGACCCTGTCTCAAAAAAAAAAAAAAATGGATGATTTTCTTGTCAGTAGTAAGACAGTGTTTCTAACAGTAAACTATTGAGTGTAATGGCTTTAAAAGAATTCACACATTTGAATTTACATAATTATGTAAAGGAGTTACTCTATTATATGATAATGGAGCAAATTAAAGGTTCTTGAAGACTAAGAAATGAGGATGAAAATTGTTGAAAAGTTGAGATTTATCAATACTGTATACCCCCCTTCCTTTTCACTCTCTGAAAGTATAGACTGCCCTGGTTAGTTATTATATTCAACTTGCTCATTTTACTCTCCTTTTATTTTTCTGCAGTAATGTGTGTGGCTGGTATTGGACTTGTTGTATTATTCTTCAGTTGGATGCTCTCTATTTTTAGATCTAAGTATCATGGATACCCATACAGGTATGATTCTTACTTTTTATTTATAAAGTGATTGCCAATACTTGGAATGATTAGAGTTGATATTACTTTATAATACCCTTCTTTTTGCTTTACTTCCAAACTATTTTAGCTTCTAAAGGAAAGACCATAGGCTTTATTTTTATTCATCTATTTATTTATTTTTATTTTTTTGAGATGGAGTTTCACTCTTATTGCCCAGGCTGGAGTGCAATGGCACAATCTTGGCCCACTGCAACCTCCGCCTCCCGGGTTCAAGTGATTCTCCTGCCTCAGGCTCCCAGTAGCTGAAATTACAGGCGTGTGCCACCATGCCCAGCTAATTTTTTATTTTTAGTAGAAACAGTGTTTCACCATGGTCAGGATGGTCTTGAACACCTGACTTCAAGTGATCTACCTGCCTTGGCCTCCCAAAGTGCTGGGATTATAGCAGGAAGCCGCGTCCAGCCTATCCATTTATCTTTAGAGACAGGGCCTTGTTCTGTCACTCAGGCAGAAGTGTAGTGGTGTGTTCATAGTTCATTGTAACCTTGAACTCCTGAGCTCATGCAATCATTTCACCTCAACTTCCCAAGTAGCTAGGACTACAGTTGCACATGACCACACCCAGCTAATATTTTTATTTTTTGTAAAGATAGTCTTGCTATGTTGCCCAGCCTGGTCTTGAACTCCTGACCGCAAGCAATTCTGCTCAGCCTCCCAGAGAGCTGGAATTATAGGCATTAGCCACCATGCTCAGACGGCTGTAATTGAGATATGTTGCATATAAAATTTAAGATAATTATAATGGGCAATATTTGTATGTGATTTGTCAGGAACATCTTTTAGGTTTATTCTGCCATCACCTAATTTATTCTAGAAATCTCTATAATACATAATGATTAGAACATTTTATACCATTATCTATTCACATAGCTCCTTGTCTGCATACTATACTTTCTTTTGAAGAAGAAATGATTTTTTAAATGTTTTTAAAAACTTCTCACCGCTACTTTTTTTTTTTTTTTTTTTTTAGAAATAAAGTGCCATTGCACTCCAGTCTGGGTAATAGAGTGAGACCCCATCTCAAAAATAATAATTATAATAATGTATCGTCTACAGAATAATAACTGGAATGTGAGGGTAATTTTGCTGGGACTTCTGTTAATTATTTGATCAGCAGTGTTGATTCAATAGCATGTGCCTGTAGTCCCAGCTACTCAGAAGGCTAAGGCAGGATGTTCACTTGAGCCTGGGAGTCCCAGACCAGACTGAGCAACATAGCGAGACCCCATCTCTAAAAAAAAAAAAAAAGAAGAAGAAAAAAATAAGATTATTAATTAGTGTCTCTGTTCAGGAGATATTTTAACTTGAGGTTATTCTGTTTCCTTTTGTCATAAGACTAATGGGTCTCTCAGTGTTTCTCACGATTTGTTATTGATGCCCAAAGATGATCACATATGTACAAAAATGCTCTTTTATCTGTTAAAACCAAGATATTGCTTAGTGGTTAGAGGTAAAGCCTACTTTTCTTTCAGATACTAATTGATTGGTATATTTTTTTGTTTCAGCTTTCTGATGAGTTAAAAAGGATCCCAGAGATACACAGACACTGGAGTACTGGAAATTGAAAAACAAAAGTCATGTGTGTTTGAAAAGAAAAATGCAACTTGTATATTTTGTATTACCTCTTTTTTTCAAGTGATTTAAATAGTTAATCATTTAACCAAAGATGATGTGTAGTGCCTTAACAAGCAATTTTCCGTCAAAATCATGAGGTATTTGAAAATGATTCTCCTCTTAACTTTCTCTTCCCAGTGAACTTTATGGAACATTTAATTTAGTAGAAGTAAGTATATTATAAAATTGGTAAAACTACTACTTTGTTTTAGTTAGAACAAAGCTCAAAACTACTTTAGTTAACTTGATCATCTGATTTTATATTGCCTTATCCAAAGATGGGGAAAGTAAGTCCTGACTCGGTGTTCCCACATATGCCTATTACAGATAACTACATCAGAAATTCATTCTTAGCTTTTCCATCTTTGCATGG